CCGTACCCAAAGAAATATCAGACTATTCATTTTCCTCTTATTTACAGTTTCTTTTAATACAGTCATAATTGTATACAGCCACTGGGATCTCTCCAAAAATTTATTAAAGGCATCGTTACAATATACTCTAGATGTTGACAAAGGAATAAATCCTAAACAACAAGCATATATGTGCAGGCTCCTATACTCTTTGAATTCACTATTCAAAAGTGGAAGTAACTGGATCCTAACACTTATTCCATACTGAGACACATTGACTGATAAGAGATACTCAAGGTAAACAAACCATATATATCATATCTACACTCAAGCACTTGGAGGTAACCTCAGAATACTAGTTAAAAGAATCCAGTAGTCACAGAGAAGGTATTTCTTACTATCCATCAAAATAACAAAAACAACTCATGTTAGTCTTTAGATTCATGTGAAAGAAAGCAAGTCTTCATTCAGACTGAAATCCAATGATCTGATGCTATGTAGTGGACTCTAGTTGCCTCTGTTTCAAGTATTTTGGGGTGAAAGTATATTATCATTTCTTGGCCCAAAACATAGAAAACATAAACAGTTTGTGAATCAGAGAGAAAAGAACATCAGTTTGTTAATTAAGCCACATTACTTCATTCATTCCACAAATATTTATTGAGCACCTATTATGTGCCAAACACTGCTCTTGATGCTAGGAATATAAGAGTAAACAAAACAGGCTGTGACAGAGTCTGCTTCTTCTATAGGAAGTCTCTTGAAGAGAAAAAGTAAAGATACTATATTTACATCTCTGAGATTCCAATAACATTAATCCAGAATGTATTCTAGCATATATTGGTATCATATTAATTATCATTTCATGAAAATGAATTTTAGTTCTTCATATACATAGCATAACCTCTTTCAGAACGAAGATTACCCCCAAAATTTTGTATCTTCTGTAGCAGAGCCTCACATATATAAGTAGGGCAGTAGTTTCAGTCAGGTTACAGTCAGGAAATAAGAACCTAAGGCATAGTTAAGTGGTTCTCAACAGGATGTAATGTTTCCCCCAGGGGATAATCTGGCAATGTCTGTGGAAATTTTTGGTTGTTCACAATTGGAGGTACTATTAGTATCTCATGTGTGGAAGCCAGGGATGCTGCTAAAGATCCTACAATGCACAAGGCAGCCTACCAAAAAAAAGAATTATCCACCTAAGATGTCAATTGTGCCAACGTTGAGAAACCTGAGATAGTTTAATAGAGGTAATTTAATTTGGAGACCTAATTACAAAGGGTTAAAGAACTGAAAGGCAAACAGGAGATGGTGACACAACCCAGAGATTAGCAACAGTAGGAAGCTCCTACCACAGCTAGGACTACAGAGAAAAATAAAGACTATGATATTATAGAACCCAGGAGCTGGGACACCTGGTAGAGCTGGTACCACAAAGGAGACACAGCCACTGTCATGGGCATCTCCAGAAACAAGGAGAAGGATACCTTGATTTTTTCCCTCCTCCATTCCTGTAATCTTCCAACCAGTGCCTCCCATTATTGGCCAAACCTAATAGAGAGCAATTGGCAATGGGGACTGGGAAATGCAATTTGCAGAGGACATCCCCTCACAATACAGAACAGAGCAAGAAAAAAAAAATGAAGAGATTTCTGAGTAAATAGGAAAATAAACAACACAGTGTGGTTTAATTAGAGTAGAAGCTTTAGAGTAAAACAAATCTAGGTTTAAATCCTAGTTGCATTACTACTTCCTAGTTGTGTGACTTAGAAAGCTAGTGAACCTCGTCTAGGCCTCAAATTCTTTATCTATAAAATAGTAATAACAATACCTACCTGACAGGATTAGTATGAGAATGTATTATTATAATACACATAAAGCATATAGCACAATTACTGAAAATGTAGTAAGTTTTTTATGAATGATTTCTAGGTACTCTTCTCCCCATGAATTGGAAAATGACAAATCTTAACTTTTATTGTTATTAAACCCCTAACTCAGTGCCTGGCACAAAGCAGGCACTCAACGGAGGTTGGATTCCTTTTTCATTAACAAATATTTATTTGATTATTTGTTTCTCATTTCCATTACTTCATTTCCATCTTCCCATTTCTCAGTGATACTTGACTTACTTCTGTAACACACTCCATTTTCCTGCAGTGTGGCTTGCAAGGTAGAAATAAACCAGATTTAAATGCAGTTTCTCAAATGTACCCTTATAATCCAAAATGTGTTTACTTTCAAAAGTCAAACAATTGAAATTTCTGCTTCAAGAAGGAGAGATTAAGACAACACATGCTTTCTTAGATTGGACTAGATGAGGCCTATTTCGGTCCCTGAGATTCTGAAATTTGCAGAAAATTTCAAATATTATGGCACCGACGTTACATTATATAAAAGAATAGCCCAAGTGCCTTCTCCTTATTTACAGAACATGTCTTTGCACATTGGCCCTGTTTGCAGCAATGGGTGAAATCTACAGGTTCCTCTTTAGAGGTGACAAATTCACTCACAGAGAAAATATTTTCTACCAGTGTACTTTCTCATTTTATCATATTCCTCGCTAGGATGCTCTGAATTGGCATCTGAAAGGCTTTCTGCCAAAAAGCATCCTTTTCACTTCCATATAAACATATGATATAGAAGATTTGAATTGATGCCTCTAAACACATTTGCTCCTCAGTCAT